GTACTGTGCGGAGGTGTCACGGAGGTGTCACGGGGAGGGGATAGTGGAGTCGTGTTGCCTTGCTGGCCTTGGGAACAAGTGCCTGTTTGCCTGCGGTCGTAGTTAATGACTTGTAACTAAAACAAACCCAGAATCACTGTCTCTGATGGTATTGAAAAAGCTGTTTCTGTTCCAGGAGACAGCCCTTCCAGGGAAGCAATTGCCAGATAAGTTGTTCAGACTTGTGAAGCTGGGCTTGGGACTTGGGTCTTTGATGCCCAAAACCTCCCAGACCTGCTTGGAGATAAATGAAATTCCTGATAGCAATATGGGTTATGGTGGAACAGTAGAGTCTGTCACGGATCACTTAGTTATTTCATCTGACAACTACTTTTGAAATATCCTGGAAAACGATCTGCTTAATTTTCAGAGAGAAGTCGGACCCTCTGTGCTGTCCACTACAAGTGTGGTAATAATAAGGGCTGACTGTTTCCAAACCTCTGTTTTCTTGGAAATGGTGGTGAATTAGTGCTAATGTAGATAGTAAAGGATCTGTAGGTTTCAGTCTTCAGGTCAGTATGTGCACTTCTGTCGCTTGTGTTTCTGCATATGTCAGGCTTTGTAACAGTGCAGGGGGGGGGCGGGGGGAAGTTTTCATTATTCAGGATCTTCCGACACTCTGGTATCTTGACTTCAGAGGAAGCTATGAAGGTACATCTAATTAAATATGCTACAGTGTGGTCTAACTGACCTATTGACTTAATCGTAAAACTTGTGAGAGAAACTGCAGAAAGGTCAAAGCTAGAAGAGAAAACTTACTTTAAGTAACACACAGCTAAAATGGCAATAATTAAATTCTTTTGCTTGCTGTCTTTTTTCACATAAGCCTGTGGAAAATGTCTCCGTTTTCTCAGTTGCTCTTCATGTAGATGCTGCATTCTCAAAGAAAAACATATTTGCTATCTGCTTGGGAGTTTCTTATTGCATCACGGAAAAAACGCAGTACAAGAAAAACATTGCAAGTACCTTTGTAACTAGAATAATTCCTGTGCATGGTTCACTCGGAACGTGTTAATTGTAGTGGAGGGCATATGGTACGAAACAGCGATTCAGATGTGTGTGTCCTTTTAGATGATGAAAGGTTGACATGTCTGTTTTTGGTTTTTTTCTGCATGACACACGGCTGTATTCTGGTAGCTGTTGCAAAGCAACCAGCAAGCAGAAATCCACATGGCAGCTTAATTTGTGGCAAGATGTCACATGTTTTAAACTCCTGTTAGGGAGGCTCAGGCCATCCACTGTTTGAGTTCCTCCTTGTCTTTGTTCCTTTAAGTATTTGTGGTCTTGTAAAGAAGATTTAGCTTAAGGATGAAAGTCTTACCTTCAGGAGCACCAACATTAAAAGAAAACAAAACCCTACAACTAAATAAACCTCTGTCTTGGGGTACTTTAGAAATGATGAGAACCAGTGAGCATTGTAGTGTGTGTTTATCAGGTGCTGAGATATTTGTGGTGTGTGAATAACTGTCACGTTTGCCTTCATCCCTCTATTCATTAGGCCTGCATCATCTCAGCCTTGTTGGGCTTGTATTCCATGAGCTGGTCAGAGAGGTTCCCTTGAAGGAACATGTGCCTTCAAATGAAGAGAAGCCAGGCAACAACCTCATTGCAACATCCACCTGTTACAGAGACTTGGGGTATGAAGCAAGGAGAGGGGAGTGGCACACGTTCTGCATGTGTAAGGCTCTGTCACCTCAGATCAGACACCTTGGATCAAACATTTCACCTGTTGAAAGGTCCCTTAGTCCCGTAGGACAGTGCAAGTTCTGCTGTGTTCAACTGACCTTTGAAAACCTGCTCACGGGATGAAACCCATGGCATCCCAGGTCCTTGTGGTACGGGGTGTTCAGCTTGGCCAGATCCCAGACCTGAAGAGCGGGAGGAGGAAGGTTTTTTTTTTTTTTTTTTTAGGGTTTTTTGGGGGGAGAGGGGGGGAGGGCTTTGATAGTGATTACCTTGGTAATTTCCTTCCATAATTGTTGTTATTCGTGTCTATAAACTGGAATGCTTATAATCAGTCCTGTAAAATCATTAAGAGAACAATTAACAAGGAAGACTTGTCCCCCGGTGACAGGGGACATGCATTTCATGATGTAGAAGACAAGTAGCTTTTAGCGAGCAACTTCCTCTTTGGCTTCTGACTTTGCGAATTAAATGCCTTATTAAGAAAATGGTTGTGACCATTATAGTAATTAACTGGAAAAGAAAATATTTAGGGTCATTTTTGAGGTATGTCATAAGGAAGTTGAAGATAGTTGGGGGTTTGTCTCCTGCTGGTTACTGTAGCAATGTGAAGCTAAAAAATTACCAAATGCACCAAGTTTTATGCAAGTTGCAGCAGCTGAGCTCCCAGCAGTGGCTGTATGAAGCAGGAGCTACTGAAAAACACATCGAATAGACACAGACTCCTCCCTCCTTCAGGGTGTCCAGATACTCTGAAAAATGCCATGCACCTGTGAATTCGGATGTTGGAAATGGAACTGCTTCTAACAAGTTTATGACTGCATAACTGACAGTTGTGTGTTAAATATCAGAGGGATAAAACTAAGTATTAATTTTTTTTTTTTTAATGTTTAAACACCAGTTAAGTGCAATACCCAAAGCCTCAAAATAGAAGAAAGTGTCGGGGGTATTCTTAGTTCTGAGTGCTTAAAACAGAGAATGTCTCTGCCATGTGCAAGCAGGGATTAATATTAAAGATGCTAAGTCGTGGGTTTAGGGCGAGGATTAGTGCCCATCATCTGCACAGTGAGTGGTGTCTTCTAGAACCGTCCAGCTGACTTGCTGCACTCCGATGCAGGTCACAGCAGTTGGAATGTGGCTTTGGGAGAGACATGTGATTCCCCGCCCTGCATGTGTAGCTGATTTCTGAAGCTCTGGTACACACTATCAGAAACATCTCTGAATAACGAGGTTGCAAGCACGGTCATTTTTTATTTATTTATTTCTGTGCTTTTTCAGGTGTTCTAGAGACTTTCTGAAGTCTGGACCACAGTTGGTGTATTTGCTCTTTTTACTTGAGAATTTTTAGTCTGGACCACAGTTAGCATATTTTCCCTTTTTACTTGAGAATTATTAGACAGAGAATGTCTAATAATTATTCAACTGTGGGGTTTCAAGGAACAGGGAGAGCACTGATGATCTTTTTTGGAGAAGTGAATGATGTAAGCTCCACTCGAGAGTTTCGTCATGGGCCCATGATGAAGAACACTCCAAAAACACTCAGAACAAGGGAAGAAAATATTAGTAAGGAAAAGTAGGGAAGAAAAGCAGTCACGTTCTTGGGAGTAGATGAAGGAGAAAGAACCAAAATCTGCAATGAGGAAGTTAGAGGGAGGCTGAGAAAGAGCAGTACAGTGTGAGGAAAGAAGTTTCCAAGCACAGTTACTTCCCACTCCTCAGAGCGGTTAAGAACTGATGAACCTGAGGTGGCAGGACAGGCTGGAAGCTGTTTGGGGTTGTCAGGAGGTGAGGCAAGCCAGGGCAGTCAGGAGGAAGTTCAGGCCTCAGGAGAGGCAGACACTGGGCTCAAGGCAGCTCTGCCTCCCTGCTGCGCCAGGGCCGAGTGCCACCCTCTGACTCCCTGGAGTTGTGGTGTTTGTGACATTAGAACAAGTGAAGTAAATCATACTGGGTTCAGTTTTGGGCCCCTCACCCCAAAAAGGCCATTGAATGACTCGAGTGTGGCCAGAGAAGGGCAACGGAGCTGGGGCAGGGTCTGGAGCACAGGTCTGCTGGGGAGCGGCTGAGGGAACTGGGGGGGTTCAGTCTGGAGAAGAGGAGGCTGAGGGGAGACCTCCTGGCCCTCTGCAACTCCCTGCCAGGAGGGGGCAGAGAGGGGGGATGAGTCTCTGGAGCCAAGGAGCCAGCACCAGGCCCCGAGGGAATGGCCTCAAGCTGCCCAGGGCAGGGTCAGGCTGGCTCTGAGGAAGGATTTCTTTGCAGAAGGGGCTGTTGGGTGTTGGAATGGGCTGCCCAGGGCAGGGGGGGAGTCCCCGGGATCCCTGGAGGGGGGTTGAAGAGTCGGGCTGAGCCAGCGCTGAGGGATCTGGGGGAGTTGGGAACAGTCAGAGTGAGGTTCATGGTTGGGCTGGAGGAGCTTCAAGGGCTTTCCCAACCCTGATGGTTCTGTTATCAGCACCCTTAGTGTTGGCTTTAAATGAAGGAAAAATAGTCTTGACAGTATACTCTGACTGTCGGTGACAATTTGTACGTTGTCACCAAATTATGTACTGCCTGTTTTGTGTTGGGGTTAGACACAGTCTGGCTAGGGGATGTCTTCCCCGGTGGTTCTTAGTGAATACTGAAGAAACAATGGCAGTGATGGAGTCATACAAGAAATTATTCTGAGTAATACAACATCCATCGGATGTTTGGTGACTTCACAGTTTATTTTTGGATCATCCTTTTCAAGCTGGAAGGTTCAAATCACAATGTACATATGAGACTATGCCATCAACCTCTTTTCATTGTACAAAGGGACTGTTTTTTTCATGCATCCCGTTTAATTTTTTAATCTTAACGTGGCTTTAAACCGCCAGAAGATCCTTCTCGTTATTCCATAAAGGATTAGTTTGAGGTGTAGGTGAGGGAATGTGTTGGAAGGTTGGGGATTTCTGTTAAACCCATGTGTTCCCTGTCAACTGTAGTATTTCTGGAAACATGTATCCTCATGCTCACATGCATGGGTTGAAAAAGTGCCTAGAATATGAAGTTTCTTGAGCACAGGTAATGTCACAACATCTGAGTACTGGCCTTCTTATAAACATTTATTGGGATACACTTGTCTCATACATTTACAGTTTCACTAGTACGCCATCGTTATCTTTTTAGAAGGTAATATCGACATTATCGGTTCCTAAAGTAATGTTTATGCTTCTGAATTAGGCCTTCTGACATAATAACTAATAAACTTGCGTGTTGTATTGATTTTTTTTTTTTTTTTTTTTTGTCATAGGAAGTGGATTTGGAAGAAAGACTTCATGAGTTGGATCTTAGAAGTGACTCAGATGTTCCTGATGTTCCTCCACCAACAGACAGCACTCCAGAAATCCTCAAAAGGGCTTTGTCAGGCTTGTCTGCCAGGTAGAGTAAAGCAAACAGCTCTCGAACTGTAATAGCTGCTGGCTAAAATTCTCACGGATTATGTTAAAGTTTTAATTCTTACAGATTGTATTGCAGTTTTACATTTCATGTGATACACGTGAAAGTCCAAGGATAATTTTTGTGCTGGAAATTATTGATTTATTTATGCTTTGATAGTCCCTTCAGTGTGATATTTTTTGCATATACCTGAATATTGTCCTTTGCATGCATTTCTAAGTAAACCACTTCAGTGTTCAGCTACAGTTTACATAAACATTTGCCATTGCTCAGTCTAAGAATTGCAACAAAACAGGCTAAAGAACAGGCATTGGGTATAATATCCAGAATAAACTATTTGTGGGGGGTTATGATACAATTATAATGTGGGGGATTTACTACATCCAAGGTTAAGGGAGGTGGTATTTGTGTATATGAGAAGGGAAGAGGTGTAAATTCTCTAGGTGAGCTGTGCTAGCTTTTTATGACAGTGTTTCCCCTTCTGAATAATTTTTCTTTGCAGTTAGACACAACATAGCTTTTATTTTCATACCATTTAGAGCAGTGTTTAATTTTTTCCTGCCATCTCTTTTCAAAACTAGGTTTCTGCCTCCAACCCCTGTTCACAGGACCTAAAGACTGGCAAGTGTGCGTGGGGGTGTGTATGTGTACAGATGGATAATCACGGGGACCTGTATGTTCATGGAGGCTAACGAATACAGTTCCTAGTGTAATTTTTTTGTACAGTCCCTTTTGGAGGTGGAAATTCACTTTACATTTTTTTTTCACTAATGCAATTTAAGAGCATTTAGGTGTGTGATAGATCACCTACCAAAAAACTACCTAGTCAAATGAATGTGTGTAGCACATATACCTTGCATTCCACATCACAAACCAAGGAATATACAGTGTATATTTTAGATGCAGTTTAGGTCTTGCAAGAGTCAGAAGGAGGACCTCCAATCCAGATCACGATTAAAAACTTCCAAGTCCTTGCAAAAAGCCTGTTCTCCAGTAGGTATCTCCAATAGCAATGTGAAGCCACAGTTTAACAGTCTGTTGTCTGTTGTGATGTCTAGGAGCTATAAACAAACGTATTGTTCCCAGGTTTCAAAAAGCATGTTTCTAAACTGCACCAGCTGTGAGCAGAATGTGATGTTCTCTCCTGCCGTCACACTGCAAGGAGTATCTAATTCCTATCCCTTTCAGAGTTCCCTTACCATGTTAGATGTTGTGGAAGTCTCAAACATCCAAATCAGACTTGTTCCAAAGGGCACTTGCATGGTGATACCTCAAAGCCTGCAACTAAGAGGCGGGGGTGAAACCTTTCCTGGTTCACGTGCTTGGAATTCTCCCTTGGAGTGTTTGCACAAAGGTGCCTGGAGCGCAAAATTAAATTCTTGGTGCTTTATGAGTGCTAGATGCAAAATTGCCCATAAGTTGAGTAACTATCACTCCCACCAGAGCTGTTGTGAAGTATGAGTGAGTTGCACTGTAACTCTCAGAAATAAGGTTTCTCGTTGTATTTGGCCTTTAGAGGAAATAGTATCCATAAATTTCCAGTGGAGAGTTGGTATAAACTTGTCAGCTGGCTTCCTACATTGTAGAGCTTGTTGTCTTACTGAAGCTGTCTTTCCACTGCTGGGCTTGTCAACACCCCCAAGATACTATGTGGTGTTTTAACATTATTCTTAAGGGAAGTGGAATTCTTCTAAGGGATTCTTGCTTACTATAGATATGTCCCTAGGAGCAAGCTGCTGCTCTATAGCCCGTGTCATAGAGGAACATAAAGCATCTCTTGAGATAAAGCCCGTTGTGCCTCTGTTATGGTACTTAAGGCAAATCCAATTAGCTTTAGCTGCCATTAACCTGCCAATGAATGACATCCTTGAAAATCCATTAATATAGTTGAAGTTTACATTAAAACTGGTGTATGGTGCAGAACTGACAGCTCTCCTGGATCAGCAATGAAACACAAGACTGATACAAAGCAAAACATTAGAAAGACTTTCTTTAAGCTATAGTAGGGGGTTTTTTGTGTGTGTGTTTAGCAGTAACTTGTGATTAGAGGCAAAGTTCTTGAAGGGGAAAAGAGGAGAAAAACTTACCAAAAAGTAATATGAAAAATAAAATACAGACTTGACAGCTAGAAAAATTTTCATGGCAGAGTGGAGCATGTGATGAGGGTTTTTTTGGTTTGGTTTGGGTTGTTGTTTTGTTTTTTGGTTTTTTTTTTTTTAAATGAACTGGGCTGTTGAATTTTCCTGATAATAGCCTTTGGACCTAGGGGGCTGGAGATGTGGTTGTTGTGGGAAATAACATTTCGGTTACTGTAGAGATTACAAAAAAAACCCCAAACCAAACAGCAAAGCCTCCCAGTTGTTTTTTTTTTTTTTTTTTTTTTTTTCTCCAAAGAAGGCATTCCACACCTCGAGTGCTGTGCTCAGTTTTGGGCCCCTCACTACAGGAAAGACATTGAGGTGCTGGAGTGTGTCCAGAGAAGGGCAGCAAAGCTGGTGAAGGGCCTAGAGAACAAGTCCTGTGAGGATCAGCTGAGGGAACTGGGGGGGTTCAGTCTGGAGAAGAGGAGGCTGAGGGGAGACCTCCTGGCCCTCTGCAACTCCCTGCCAGGAGGGTGCAGAGATGGAGGATGAGTCTCTGGAGCCAAGGAGCCAGCGCCAGGCCCAGAGGGAATGGCCTCAAGCTGCACCAGAGGAGGTTTAGACTTGATATTAGGAAAAATTCCTTTGCTGAATGTGTTGTCAAGTGTTGGCACAGGCTGCCCAGGGGAGTGCCTGAGTCCCCATCCCAGGAGGTATTTAAAAGACGTGTGGGTGTGGTGCCTGGGGACGTGGTTTAGTGGTGGACTTGGCAGTGTTTTTATGGTTGGACTCAACTAATCTTAGAGGTCTTTTCCAACCTAAATGATTCTGTGGTAACAGGATTTTCTATTCTGCTTTCCTTAGGTAGCCACAAGCAGCTACTAAGGTCTACAAGGGAAAAAAAGTAGAGCTGGTTTGACCCATGACCCCTCATTGTCACATCTTTTGCTGTCCTGGTTCCAGTGCTCACAAGAGCACAGGACTGCTTTCAATAGATACCCTCTACCTGCCAAAATAGCTACTTTGCCCCTATGCAAAAATGGAGATTGTTTTGTTTGCTTGGGGTTTTTTTTTTGGTCACTTCTCAAAGAATCATATGCGTTTTACTTGGTAGCCTTTCTGTTGTGTGTAAGCCTTTACATGGCTGTGCCCTCCTCAGTCTTGCTGCTTATGTGATGCTTTTTTTGGGTCCTGATGTATTTTCACAGCAGCTTCAGTTATGGGGTTGATCCATTTAATTGCAGATGACCTCTGGGAGCAGGGGGGAGCATGGGGGAAGAAGAAAGGTGGCAAACTTTATTTTACTGTGTATCCTGTTTAGTTGGATAGTTGGTTGATCTGTACTTCTTGCTATATGTTTTATTGAGCATGAAAATTTCTGGAACTCCCACTGTTTCTAATACACTTTAATCTCTAGTTAGTAAAGGGAGTGACATTTGTTTTCTTTTATAACTGCTTGCCTTTTATTCTCTTTTTTTTTTTTTTTTAAATAGATGGAAAAATTGGTGGATTCGTGGAATTCTCACTCTAGCTATGATTTCTGTGTTTTTTCTGATCATATACCTGGGATCATTTATGCTGATGCTTCTGGTAAGTTTGTTTAGATACATTCTGCCATGCAGGAGTTACTTGATCTTTTCATTCATTGTGCTTAAGACAGCTGGAAGCAAACTACACAGATAATTCAGAGCAATTAGTCTCTTATTTGTGTAAATATAAATACCTTTGAAAAAAAGGGATAGATTCACAACTGGGCCTTGTGGATTAAGGACTTCTTATATACTATAATTATTTTTTTTTAAAAGTAACTCTAAGAGGTTGAGTGATTGTTGCCTTGAAGTTTACTAAACTACCATCATCCATGTCCTCCTCCAGTTCCCATCCCCTACTGCTACATTCTTTAAGTTTTTTTTTTTTTAAAAAAAACCCCAAACAAAATCCAACAAACCAGCACACCCACCCCCTACTCCCCCAAAAAAACCTCCAACCCTAAAAGCCCAAGAAACAGGCACAGGAGTTTTATTTTTGAGGATGAAGAAAGCAGCTGGCTCAGGCATGCTCCATTAATTCCCTACTTCTGTAATTCAGGGGCTGCCCTGTGGCCTTTAGAATGGAGCCAGATCCCTTCCCAAGTACAGAGATAAAGTGCATTTTTAGTTCATGAAGTTAAATGCTGGTACTACTAATATTCATACACCCTGCATACCCAGTCAGCCTTTACCGCTTCTTTCCGTCATAGTTTTTTTTCTGATGTTTTTATTGAATAATGGTTTAACTATCTTTCCCAGTCATGGAAAGAAACAGCCAGGGATTCTAAAACACAGAAATTGGTAGTTTTGGGTAACTGCTTGGATTTTTGGCTCTAAGCTTCTTTAACTGTCAAAATATGCTTTTACTTATGGGCTCCTGTCAAACACCTTTTGGAATGTATTTATAGAATCATTTAGGTTGGAAAAGACCTTTAAGATCATCCAGTCCAACCCTAAACCTAACACTGACAAGGCCACCACCAAACTGTGTCCCCACGTGCCACACCCACACGTCTTTTAAATACCTCCTGGGATGGTGACTCAGGCACTCCCCTGGGCAGCCTGTGCCAACGCTTGACAACACTTGCAGCAAAGAAATTTTTCCTAATATCCAATTCATACCACCTTTGGGCACAACTTGAGGCCATTTACTCTTGTCTTATCATTTGTTACTTGGAAAAAGAGACTCATCCCCCCTCTCTGCACCCTCCTTTCAGGGAGTTGCAGAGGGCCAGGAGGTCTCCCCTCAGCCTCCTCTTCTCCAGACTGAACCCCCCAGTTCCCTCAGCCGCTCCCCAGCAGACCTGTGCTCCAGACCCTGCCCCAGCTCCATTGCCCTTCTCTGGCCACGCTCGAGTCACTCAATGGCCTTTTTGGGGTGAGGGGCCCAAAACTGAACATGGTAATCAAGGTGCAGCCTCACCAGTGCCGAGCACAGGGCTCAGATCCCTTCCCTGTCCCTGGTGGCCACGCCAGTGCTGACACAAGCCAGGATGCCATTGGCCTCCTTGGCCCCCTGGGCACACTGCTGGCTCATTATCAATCCCCCCAGGTCCCTCTCTGACTGGCAGCTCTCCAGCCACTCCTCCCCAGGCCTGTAGCCCTGCTGGGGATTGTTGTGGCCCAAGAGCAGCCCCCGGCATTTGCCCTCAGTGAAACTCCCCCAGTTGGGCTCAGCCCATGGCTCCAGCCTGGCCAGGCCTCTCTGCAGAGCCTCCCTACCCTCGAGCAGATCAACACTCCCACCCAACTGGGTGTTGTCTGCAAACTGACTGAGGGGGCACTGGATCCCCTCGTCCAGATCATCAATAAAGATGTTAAACAGGAGTGGCCCCAACACCCAGCCCTGGGGGACACCTCTTGTGACCAGCCCCCAACTGGATTTAACTCCCTTCACCACAACTCTCTGGGCCCGGCCATCAGCCATTTTTTTACCCAGCAAAGTGTGTGCCCATCCAAGCCTCCAGCAGCCAGTTTTGCCAGGAGAATGCTGTGGGAAACGGTGTCAAAGGCCTTACTAAAGTCAAGGTAAACAACATCCCCATCTTTTTCCTCATCCACTAAACAGGTCATATTGTCCTAGAAGGAGATCAGGTTTGTCAAGCAGGACCTGCCTTTCACAAACCCCTGGTGACTGGGCCTGGCCAACTGGTTGTCCTGTGGGTGCCGTGTGATGGCACTCGAGATGATCTGCTCCATAACCTTCCCTGGCACCAAGGTCAGACTGACAGGCCTGTAGTTCCCCACGTCCTCCTCCAGTGTATATCCATGGTATACACTGAGTTTGCAATCAGGGGCAAAGCTATCAAGAGAGGAACCAAAAAGTAATTAAAGTTAGTATAGAATTGTAATAGAGCTTTTCCTCTGTTGAACCATAAATCAAAAACTCTTGTCTTCTAATATAATAAACTGTTCAGAAGGTTGACATTTGAGACTATGTAAAAGGAAGAATAGAGGGAAAACCCAGGTTTGTTCATGAATTATTTCACTGGAACCAAATAGCCTACATTTAAACAAGAGTTGTACTTAAACGAAATTTTAATGCTGAGACTCAAAAGGCCCAGAGACTTGTACAAGGGTATTCCAGTGAAGTTTGGAGGACAATCCCTGAGACTGCTTAAAAAAGTTGGGCACTGTGTTTGATGTTTCCCTGCTACTGAGGTAACCAGGCACAAGCTTCCATGTCTTTGGACACCAGTGTCCTCTTCCACTGTAAGGTGCAATCCTTTAATGTTGCTCTTGCATATAGCATTTAAGTTTTATAATGCAGGCCAAGCTGAAGAAAGAGCATGAGATAGGGGAGCTTCAAAACTCGCTGAAGTGGCGTAAGGCTGTTTTAAACTGCGTTCACACATTGAGCAAGATGAAATTTATTCATGCATGCAGGTGGTAAGAGGATACTGTGAAGCCTAGCGTGCCGACACACGCCATCGGCGTGGTAGCTTCTTACTCCTGCCTCTGCAGAGGTTTCCTGATGACCTAAGCTTGGCAATACTTGATATCTGGGCAGGGCAATCTGCTTGGTCACTGCGGATTAGACAAAACTGGCCGAGAGTCCTTTGGAGCCCAAAGACAGACAGGACGTACAACCAGACTTGCACGGACAAGCACTGAAGTAGTAAGATCAGCAAAGCAAAATGAAAGCTGTGGAGGGTGACATTCAGCCCTGGGTTAGATGAGCTTTGCTTCTAATCATCAATGGTAATTGCCCGTAATGAGATGCTTGCAGGTGGAAGACCTGGGTGTCCAAGTTGTGGTGCACAACTAGTTTTTTCCATTGGGCCTAGAAAATGTTTCTTAAAGTAAATTTAAAGACAAAACTTAGCCAAAAGAAATACAAGACTGTTTTAATAAAGGAGAGTCAGAAGCTTTCCTCTGTTTCACAGACATATTCTTGCAGCTAGCCCGGTGTGGTTTTCTCTCAGCATGCCTAGTGGTTTTGAGGTTTTGGGGGGAGTTTTAAATGGAACTTCTGTTTTCTTTGGACTTCCTTTGAAGCTGTCTGTTTTCTATGTGGAATTTTAATTTGGAATAATTTCTCCCCTTAATGCAGGTTGCAGTACTACCCACTGCCTTTAACAAACAACTGCAGCGTATTTACATGTTTTTTTTATTTCTCTTGTTTTAGGTCTTAAGCATCCAAGTGAAGTGTTACCATGAAATCATTACGATAGGTTACAGAGTCTACCACTCCTATGATTTGCCATGGTTTAGATCCCTCAGCTGGTGAGTAGCAAGCAAGAACATCAATCAGTAGGGATGTTAAACTTAAATCTTCACGTTCTTCTTATCCTGTCATGGTGAAACGATAGCTTTGTAGGTCATGTGCAGACATAAAACTTGACATCTGCCTCTAACATGAGATTCTGGAGTTGTCTTCCACCTGTGAGCTTGGACAGCTCAGTTGGCCTTTTACTACTTCAAATTTTTTTCCTTGTTATAAAGAATACATTTAAAATGTAATAATGTTATATTTAATATCTAATCAAATAATATTTACACATGTATGTAATGCATATATGCTTTAAGTCAGAATTGAGTATGTGTAAGCTATTTAAAAATGTGCATAGCCAAATAATCACCTGATACGTGTTACCTAAACTGCTTCGTTTGTTTGGGTTTTTTTTGGCTGTTAACCTTGCACAAGGAATAAATAGAACAGGTACCTTAAAGGTGGAGAATTAAAATAATTTATCTACACATGTAGGGAATTAAAATAACGACATACAAGTTTTAAATCCTTTCCAATCGTGCACTTAATCACAGGAGTTCATAAATACAGTGTTGGGGGATCTTCTGAAAGCCAAAAGATGAGATTAATTTTTCTGTCAAATCCCAGATACTTGTGACAGTGTCCAGCTTATATAGGGCTGGATAGAACTGGGGAAATCGACTCTTCTGAGTTCTGGGAGGAAAACTAAAGGCTCTTGATTAGGGTCAGCATTATGGGAACGTGTTGGGCACAAATAGTCTCTAAGGTGCTTAAGGACATAATTCTTCAGACACGGCCTATGTTGTGTTGTCTGGGTTTTGTGTGGGGTTTATTTTTTTGAAGGACTTGAAATATTTAGGTTATTAGCTGTTTCTTGTCACATCGCTTCTTCGCTTCTAGAAGCGACTTTACTGTGTATTGTGGTGGATTCCTGATGTAAGTGCTAATCAGTTCCGCTGTGGTCACCCCTGGATTACCCAGGGGACTGATCTATTGTGTGCTTTACTCCATGGCTTCTACAGCTACAGCAGTGTCACACATGAATGATTCTGGAGTCTTGCCAAAATTTTTAGAGTAGGAGATGTGTACTCTACCACTCAGTCTACTTTGGCAGCTGACCACCATCACTTTTGGCTTATTTAAAGATGTGAAGCCTTGCAAAGTGAGCGTTAACATCTGCTAGGGGGATGAGAATGAGTATTGATTGCTCTGAGACTATCTGGAGATCCAGTCTCGAATCACAACTTTCTATCTTCTGTGGCTCACTTCGGTAATAAGCCAGAGTACGTTGCCTAGAGAGGTGCATCTCTTAGTGGGTTTGGATTTACTGTTTATTGGGTTTTATTGAGTGCTGCCTTGGCGTTTGAGGATCCCATTATGACTTAGCTCTGGAAAGTTGAGTAACTGAACTTGTATGAAAACCTGTGACAGAATTCCTTGTGTGCAGACTGAAAGGAATTTCTTTGATAGATACTTCAAAAAGAGATGGCTGCAGGTGACATTTCACCTCAGCTGAACTTTGGGTGTCAACATACTGCCACAAAATTGTTCTGAAAAAGTTGTAGTAATAGCTGCATTTACTAGTTAGGTGATGGATTTAACCCTGTAAGGTTATTGCTTAGTCAAGGAAGCTGAAAGGAAAAGTGCATGGTGGAGTGGAGCAGATGTGGCAGCAACTCTTTCAGATGAGAATCTTCCAGCCAGATGGCAAAAGTATAGTCACATTCAGATCTTCAATGTCACATTCACTGTCCTATAACCTCAGAGGATTCGTTGTGCCAGTATCTTTTCTCCTGTTTGTAAGGCAGAAATCACACCCCACCCGTATTAGGATACAGGAAAAGCATATGTAGAATTCCTTGTGTCGATACTAATGAAAGCAGATACTTGTGCTGTACTTGTGCAATACCGTAGTTAAGGATGAAATGAGTTTTCTAACTGTATCCTGCAAAATGTGTTTGTTTTTCTAGTGCAGTTGCTTTAGAAATAAATTACAAAAATTGACTTGTCAGAGGAGGCACTGATCCAGAAGTGTAAGACTGGGTTTATACTGGAATTTTATTTTTGTCACATCTCTTTTCTACCCTTCTGGTTTTCCTTCTCTGTGGTGTTTTTTGTTGTGGGTTTTTTTTTTTGTTTTTAAGAATGACACTGAAATGTATATTATCTTGCTAAAATAACTGCTAGCTCTTTTATGTCTTAGGTACTTTTTGCTGTGCGTGAACTACTTCTTTTATGGAGAGACTGTAGCTGATTACTTTGCTACGTTTGTTCAGAGAAGAGAACAACTTCAATTTCTAATACGTTACCACAGGTTTATATCTTTTGCACTCTATTTAACAGGTAAGTGTATGAAACTGCAAAAACGGAAGAGCTTTGTGCTGCATTTATTTCTGTGCTTACTTGTTTTTTTAAAAAAATAATTGCTCCCTAGCTTTATGCACTCTCACTTTCTTTTTCTTCTTGATCATATAATCGCAGAATGGTTTGGGTTGGAAGGGACATTAAAGACCATCTAGTTCCCACCCCCCTGCCACAGGCAGGGACACCTTCCACTAGCCCAGGTTGCCCAAAGCCCCGTCCAACCTGGCCTTGAACCCTTCCAGGGATGGGGCAGCCACAGCTGCTCTGGGTGACCGTGTTTGTGCTTGGGATTGCCCTGACCCATGGGCAGGACCTCGCCCTTGGCCTTGTGAACTCCATGAGGTTTGCCCAGCCCCACCTCTCCAGCCTGTCTAGGTCCCTTTGGATGGCTCATCCCTTCCCTCCAGTGTGTCCCCACACCACACAGCTCGGTGTCGTTGGTGAACTTGCTGAAGGTGCCTTGACCGCACTGTCCGTGTCCCCAACAAAGTTGTTAAACAGTGCCAGTCCTGACCCCCACCCCTGAGGATGCCACTAGTCACCAAATTCAAGGAAATTAGGTGTTTGTGGTTCCATTTTTTTCCTGTGAAAAGATGAATATAAATTTTGCGTTCACTGAGAAGACAGCAGCTTAAACAAGTGGGTGACCTTGAGAAAGTTGAGCTAATAGCACTCGAGGAGTTGGCAGGAAGTAATTTTGATGGCTGAAGAGCTGGGTCTGGGTACCTGGATACATGAACAATGTTTTGGCAGTCTGCGGAGCTGACTTTCCAGAATATTTAATTGCTGTGCTGGGTTGATGCTTTATTTTGCAAATGTTCTGCTAGGTCTGCAGCAATGAGATTTACCAATGTATTTTAAACTGGTTATTCAAAATGCCTGAGGCTTTATTTTGTTTGCAAGATATCCAGCTGCTTGCCTCATGGATAGATTTTCCTCCCTAACCAAAGAAAGAGTTCTTAAAAACCTCTTCTCTAGGAAGAAGATACATAAGCTGGCAGTCTTGTGGCGTGTTGCGTTGTGAACATGTAAATATAGTCCACAGTGTTTTCAGCAATGCAATTAATATTGCTTTAGCCTAAAGTTAAATCAACTGAAGACTCAGATTGGCCTAAGGGACAGGAGACTGCTATGCTACAATTACTTGTAAAACATATTAAGAAACCTGACCTTTATGATGAACTCTCACTCTACCTGCTGTTTTTTTTTTAAACTAGGTAAAATTTTTGCTTGGTGCTTAGATCACAAACTTGAAACCAGCTTTGTAAGACTTGACCTTTTTCAGCTGGCTTTGGCTTGAGGAAACTAACTTAACTAATGCCTGGATACTGCTGAAGGGCGGTGAGGGGAGAGATGAGACAGGCTAGTCATGAGCAAAAGCAGGAGGCAGAGCATAGCAGAGCCCCTTGGCAGGGGTCACTGAGGGGCTGTCCCCAGGATTAAGGTTCTTTTGGGGGCCTCTGATCCCTGCTGGCACAGAAGGGATCACCCTAGGGCAGAAGAGGTGCCCTGTTAGGCACCCAGAATGCTTCTTTTAAGGCAGTGGAATTCTCCAATGTCTGCACTTTACGCTTGTGCAGCCTTATGCCTGTCTGGGGAAAGGAGCAAGATCATCTTTTCCTTTCAATTGTTTCTGTTAATTATTCAAAACTAGCTCATTGACCTGGTTTTTGAGTGGTTTTTGAAGGTGATGGTCTCCTTCCTTAAAACTGATGTCTATAATGGGACCTTGTAAGTAATGAAATGATGCTCTTTACCGATGTTAACTAAATCTTGTGCTCTAATGAGAATAATTCTGTATGTATGCTTAACTGAATGCAAGAAAAATGCTCCCAGCAGCAGAGAGATTAAAAGCTGCTTCAAGGGAAGAGAATTACTGGTATATCACAGTTCACTGTAATTAAATATGAGATGGTACAAACTACACCTGCTTTGTTTTACAGGCTTCTGCATGTTTGTTTTGAGTTTAGTGAAGAAACATTATCGTCTGCAGTTTTACATGGTGTGTATTACCCTCTTTGCTGTGGTTATGAATGTTGCTAGAAACAGCCATGTCCCTGAGTTCATAAAAGAGCTTAGAAAAGGGGTATGGACGATGTGCTTAAACTGACAGTAATATGAAATCAAGTGTTGTTGGGCTGTTTGGTATCTGATTGCCTTGCAGCTGCTTGTTGTTGTTGTTATTATTTTAAAAAATCATGGGATGTGGCCTCTATGTCAATATAGGCCGTCGTTGGTGAGCCCTTGTGATTCAGTGTGAGACATTTTCCTGGTGATAGGCTGATACAAAAGAGATCACTGGAGAAAGGGCTGTGCATCTCCCTCCCAGGTCAGAAGCCAGATAGTTCAGCAGAACGTGGGACAACTCAAGTGTTACTTTGCAGAGTTTCCACTGAAGCACTATGAATGGAACTCGATCTTAACCCTCATGTGGGAGATTTATCCTGTGATGTTTGACAGCAGTTCTGGTCTTCTGCTCTGCTGTGCCTCGGTAGGGCATTGACTTGTTAAAAGAAACCGGTGTGCTCATATCTTGTTATTGTCTACCTAATAAACAGCATAGCTAATCAAGAGTATGAACCTTTTATTATATGTATCTCAGAGGTCAAAAACTAATTTTGTAACATCACAGGTAAAAAATAAAAAACCCAAACCTACGGAAAACCAAACCGAAACAAACCCCTGAAACCCACCCCCCCTTCTCTATAGGAATGATTAGCAGCAACAGTAAAACAGTAATGCAGTACAGCTCCTGTCTTTAAAGAACTTGAGCAGTCAGGGCATTGCACAACCTTAAAGATTTCCTAAAGCGCCAGGGATGCAGTTAACCCCTCTGTTTCTACAGTGTTTTAGGTAGCACTCGGCCATTGAGGATCCCTAATTCTAGACTAGGGCTTAGCTGAGCCCTGTATGAGTGTGTAAAAAAAAAATAATAATCTTTTACTCCAAAAAAATTTACCCTGTTTGTAGGAGAAGTTGCCTGACAGGGAGATGCAGCTTTTCTAGGAGAGGTGGTCTTTGCCTTCTAATCCCCAAAGAGTCCCTATCTGCAGATTGGCACAAAGTAAATGTATTCATTTTCCTTTTTTTTTTTTTTTTTTTAACTCTTCTGGAAAGAAGGGAGAAAAAAATTTGGTGTCATTACATTAAGGTGTGACTACCTAAGAATTGCAGTAAAACAGAGTGAAGCTGTGTACCCCCTGTGTGGCAACACAGTGTTTGGACACAGACAGGGAGTAGTAATTCAGTTTTAGGTGGTGGTTCAGTATCACTATACAAATACTAAAAAGTTTGCTGCAGAGATGCTTTAACTAAGCAGCAAGTAATATTTTCAGAAACCTTTAGCCATTCTTGCGTGCCCCCCCCCCCTTTCAGCCTTCCTGAGTTGTCTTAACTGGAAGTAGATGCTGGCTGCCCCAGGAAAACACATGTGATAAGAGAATTAAAAAAGTAGGACATGCCAAGTGTTAAATTGCCCAGGCATTTAGAGCGCTTAAATTTGGTGTTTCATGGAAAAATGACCAGTTCTTGCTTTAAAAGGTTTTTTTAAATATGAGAACTTTTGTAGAGTCTTTATTGGTAAACTGTTTGGAAACCACGTTACTGTACGCTGGTGCTACAGAACCAACACCAAATATGTGCCGTAATACTGAGGAAAAGGACTGTTTAAATGACCATGCACCAAAAAATTAACACTTTGTTTTCACTAATCCTGAGAATTTTCACGTTTCATAAGAGGACTGGTATTCTGTTATGAGATATCCACATATGTGTAACATGACTCTTCCATGAGTAGTTCATTGCCATTTTACTGTTACGGTTCTAACTGTCTGTTATATGTATATACAGAATATCACATTGCTCACGTTCCTTTGCTGCTTTCATGCTGAAGGTGTATGTCTCATTAAATCAGATGTTAAACTGCACATTAAAAAAATTCTGGGTGGAGGTAAGTGATGGGGAAACCTGTTAAAGTTTCAGTGCTCGTTTCAGAAAGCCAGCTAACTTGTGATATACTGTATGCACACATCTCTCGCATTGCCACTAGAACTGGTGCTTCCTGCGAGCTCCTACGTAGCTCCTCAAGCTGACATACCAGATTTATCAAGGTGTATGGGTCGGTGTTTTCACTAACTGTTGTCTTGTTGCATTGTTAACAGTTCGCATGGACTCATGTCACTTTGCTGATCACTGTAACTCAATCTCATCTTGTCATCCAAAATCTCTTTGAAGGCATGATCTGGTAAGGGGACAGTAATAAACTGATTTGTAACTATTGCATTGGAAGGTCGGTTCTTTTACACAGATCTGGTTAGGGAATAATTGTGGGAACAGTTAATGCAGCACAAATTAAAGAGCATTGCTGTCTGGTTGGGAGTTGGAGGGATTGGGAGCGACGAGGTAAAGCATACAGGAGAGGAAGCAGAAACCTCTTTAGATTGGGAGCCACAAGAGTGATAATTTTGAACCACCACTTCATTTACTTGCAAGGAATAGGTTTCTTGCGTGCTTGGTGAAGTAGTTTCCGTAGCATTTTGCTGAATGGGTGAATATCCAGCAATTCGTTCTTAATTACTTGGGAGCTTCAGGTTGCTCAGGGCTATTGAAGTTGGACCATTTAATTTGAAATCCCCAATCTGGCCGCCTTCCCTACCAGATACATTCAGATTACTTAAAGTATGCTAAGAGTTTAAATCTTGGTTATTGTTGGGTCACCTTAATGCCCTATTTCCAGCGATGTATTAAATGATGATTATGCAGTTAAAATTGATTACTTAAAACCGCTCCTCAAAGAGAGGGTGTGTTTTCCCACCCCCCACTTCTTTAGGGACACAGTAAATGACAAGTTGAGAAAGAAGGAAGAAGCACGTAGAAGATGATTGTGTTCTTCCAAGGACACAATACTGCACGTTCTCCTTTTTCTTTTCCTGATATATATACATACACAACTGATTAGTGCAGGAAAGACGTGCTCGTAGTTAAAAAGAAAACCCAAAGCCTTTGACAAAGTTTATATAAAATTATTTTCGTAGTGATCATGTTCATGTGCCAAAAAGTAAACCTAGTTGCCTTGTTAGCCTTAGGAAGTAAGTTATTCTTTAGTTCCTCTGGTGCTAGGCAATTTGGCAGATGGTCACAAAATCTGACTTTTAGCTTATTAATACATCCCTGCTTTGAAAAGGGGGAGGGAAAAAAAAAAAGAGGTTAACAGGCTGAAGTAACAAATTCAGGTGGTGTCTGCATGCAAAGAACTCTTACAAAGTTAACACAGGCTGCTCCAAACTGACAAGGGGGGGCAAAAAACCCTCGTTTTTTGTGGGTTTTTTTAAATTTAGGTATCATTAAACGTTTACAAGGAATTTGCTTGCTTTGATGTTACCAATAACATTAACATGTTTATATCTGTTGATTTCCTCTTAACTGTGGTACCAGTCTTTAAGCCTGATAGGAAAAAGCCAGCCTGTTCACGTGTGAAGCTCACGCCCCAAAATCCTACCTTAACTTGAACTAACCTGAATCTGTAATGGTCTTGATCAACTGAAGACTAAAACCAGTATAGCTAAATATGCTGCTTGTGGGGGATCTAGGTGAACGTGTTATGAAATGTAATTCCTTCTAAATACTACAAAGAATTCCCAGAAAGAAATGCTGCTGTTTCAGTTTCTGTGTTTAGCTTCGGGCAGCTTTTCTGTTTGTTTGTTTGGGTTTTTTTTCTAAAAAACTTTTAATGTCTGTCTTTAGGTTTTTGGTTCCAATTTCAAGCGTTATCTGCAATGATATTACCGCTTACATTTTTGGATTCTTCTTTGGCAGAACTCCGTTAATTAAGGTATGTACTTAGGCACTTCCTCACTAACAACCTTTTACAACTTATAGCAGTTTTGATACTTGTTCAAAAATGTATTCATGGAAAAAATACTTTCCGCCCTACTGCGTGATCCACATCTTGCTAAAAAACCAAATTGGCTGTCCTGTTTCCGAAGATTTGTAAGTGGAAGCTGGAATTACTCTGAATGTAATATTGATGTTACCGTATAATACAGTTCGAGCCTATTGCATCATAATTTATAATCTCTTCCTTTCTGATTTCGTGTGCAGGTTTAACTGCGTGTTTACTGTACAGAAACTGTAATTTGAAATAAGCTGCTAGGTCATATGTACCTATTCCTCATTTGATCTCATTGGTGTAGCACTGAGAAGGGCTCAAGCAGTAATCTTCCTGTTCTGGTAGAATATGCAAGACCCCACATAAATGAAAAAAAGGAAAAGCAAGCCATGTATTATTGTTTTCATGATGCTGTCATGTTAACTTTTGGTTATTCAGTTGGTTCTGATATTAAACTGCTCCTAAACTGAAAAACATGATGGAAGCTGATGAAGAAAATAGCTTGCTCTGCTGGTCTCTCTAGGCCTGCAGTTATTTGCTATATTAGTTTGACAGTCTGTAAGAAGGTCGTGTCTCCCCAGGAGCGTCCCTAGCACTGGTTGTCGTAACACCCAGGCACTTCCCCTCCTTGCCTGGGACAGGCCCTGGCTGCGCTCCTCTTGGGGTCATGTTCAGCTGCTGGCATTCAGTATTTCACACATAACCTTTGAAAAATCAAGTAGGAGCTTAATTTTCACAAACGAGATCCAGAAATAGAGTAAAAAAGGGCTCAGTGGTGGGATTGATGAAGCTAATGGAATCTCTTTTTGCCTAGCTGTCTCCCAAGAAGACCTGGGAAGGCTTCATTGGAGGCTTCTTTTCCACAGTTGTATTTGGATTTATTGTAAGTAACCACCAGACTTTCCTTACATAGGTTCAGTCTTCCATGTCCTGGTTTTACCTGAAGTCAAAATACTCACAAATTTGGTCGTCTCAAGCTGCTGAAAGCCTAAGAGTTAGGGGTTCGTTTTGGCTAGATAATTGTGTATAAGGGGTAACAACAGCATACACTAACTGTTCTAATAAGTCATTTATCACCGAGATCAGCAGAACTCATAACGGCCTAACTTGGAAGAAGCAGTAGTTCAAGTTTTAATGGAGAAGTGAAGTGCAAAGAAATGATGAGTGGCTAACATTTTTGAGTTTTATAATGCAGAAACGTTCAGCAGATTTGAATGTGAGAGATGAGAAGGAAAACAAGTTGGGAAATCATCACTTAGCGCAGTGAACGTCCACATTTATCTGCCTCATTGAGGCATTCTCCAGCTTAAACAGGCCAATTTTATTCCATTCTGGGTTCTCTTTGTTATTAAAAAGATTTTCATTAACCCCAGCTTGCGATGACAAAACCATCCATTGTAGTATGATTTTTGACTGTAACAACAAATGCCTATTTCAGGAGTCCTTGTTTTGCTTTTCAGTTTTCCTATTTTTTGGCTCAACATCAGTACTTTGTCTGCCCTGTGGAATATAACAGTGAAACCAACAGATTTGTGACAGAGTGTGAACCTTCAGAGCTCTTTCAGATGAAGAAGTACTCTGTGCCACCACTGCTGCAGGCTGCATTGGGATGGGTAAGGGAGAAACCAAGGCTCTGGTTAAAAGTGAAATCGTACTTACTTCCCAGCTTGAATGGTTTTCTGAACCTTTTCAGAAAGGTGTATGAGTGCTGGTAAGGCTTGAGGGGTAAGAACTGATTAATATCATGAGCCTCTCTACTCAGATTGGGGAGGTGGCCACCCAAGCAGAACTGAAATGAGTTGCTGGAGGAAACCTGCCTGTGTTCTTGTGGCCTGTAATTCTCTTTGTGCTGCAAACGGATGTCACTAAAGGTCACTAAAGCATTTTGCAGACAAACCTGTTTTTGAAGAGCAACCTTTACTTTTTTTTGTGGAAAGTGGACAAAGGCTTGTTACGGTCTGAATTAGTGGCAAGGTCAAGTCGTCTCATAAAACTTCTTTCCATCCATTTTCAGCTCGTGTGTAACTGCTGTTGGGGTTGGACTTGTACTTCCTTCACCACGTAGCATCTTGTGTGTTAACACCATTCCTCCTGTGCTGAGTGAAAAAGGAGTAACAGGAATAGCTCCATGTGATGTAGTCACCAACCCTTTTCCTCACACCCAGCCTGCAGATTATCAGTTGTTATCAATGTCAATTATCCTACTGTATGAAGCAGTGCTTCCAGAGGGCTCCAGGGGCATTCCAAAAGGAAGAAAATATTAAATAGAAACAAAGCAGTCTGTCGTGATCTTTCCTTTAGGGCAAAGAGGAGGTGGCTGGGCTGAAGGCAGTGCAGAGCACTAGGGAAGGCAGTGGGCTTTACCTACAGTGGGCTACTTGGGCGTAACACTGAAGGACAAAAGTTACTGTGGTCACTAGAAGAAAGCACAAACTGGAAACTGTAGCGACCAAATCTAAAAGTAACGGCTCTGGTTGGTACTTAGAAAAGCAAGATTAGGTCTAGAAGGGGAGCTCTGATACTTTCATACCAAATTAAAGTACTGTTGCTTCAGGGTCTGTGGGGTTGACTGCAAATTTAATAAGGATTTTTCTGCACAAAATCATCATGTGGACTGAGCAGAGAGAAATCTTACTGTGTCCAGCTATATTGTGTATTTTGGTAAAGGGCAAGAAGGTGGGAACACCTGGTTCTGTGCCAGTCTGAGAGAGCTATTGGTTAAACCCTAGAAAGAGATGGTAGTTCCACATGCACTTCTGGAGTACTTCTGCCAGGCTCTAACAAGCCTTTTGAGGAGAGAATTAGTTTTAGCACTCTTTGTGGAAAGTCAAATTGAAACAGCTTGGTTTTGGTTCTCCCTCTGTTAGGCAATTCCTGGTGTACTCTCTTGGCAATATGACCAGATGTTGTGTGTGGAAAACACTTTGCTTGGTGTGAAAATGTGCGGAGCCTTGTGTTGTCCCAACAAAATTGACTTAAGAATTCCAACTCATAAAACTTTGTTTGACCAGCTGAATAGTTCAGCCTAAAAGAAAGGTGTCTTAAGGTAACTGCACAAAGTAGTCAGGAAGTTATTTGGTGTTGGCCAGCTGTGATGCAACTCAGAAACACAGGGTACAGGATTTTTCAGCTACAGATGGTGTTTATCAAGGCTTGCCAGGTGAGGAGTGCTCTGCTCTCAGGGATGAGGTCAGCATGGCGTTCCCTCAAAGCCTGGAGCTTGTACCACTGACTTGAAAGTGCTCAAAGCTAAGTTACAAAATAAACCCCCAAAACAATCCCAGAACCCCCCAAAACCAGAGAACCTAAACACGCAAACAAAAACAGAATTAAAAAAACAAACAAACAACCCCAAACCCTCTAAAAAAACAAAAAAACTCTTTTTTTTTCTAGTCTGTGTCAGGAAGGAAAACAGGTACCTGTTGCAAATGAAGTCTCTCTTTTCTGTAAGAACTTGAACAGATCAAAACGAATTTCAAGTCTGTGAACAGGTCAAGGGGAACAATATTTGTTTAAATACAAACCAGAAAGTATCAATGGGGATAAACCTTTTACCTCCTGTTATTGCTGTGTGCACACAAAGGTGACAGTGTGGCAGACTAGTGCAAAATTCATCTGTCTTGTGGGAGTGACAGTGAGTTGTGTGAAGGTGACAAGTTTGTGGAGAGCATTGGGCCACTTGACTAGAGCAATACTAGGATGTGTGGAAAGCTCCTTTGTTTACAGAACATGGAGCTGGAAGAGCAGAGTCAGGAAAAGACTAGAGTCCCATCATACGTTACGGAATTAGTAGTTATATTCCTTATGATCAGCTGAGGGATTTGCTGAAAACCACATCATTTGTTAAAGTTAACTACTCTGGCAACCCTGAATGCTTCATCCTGTTCACGTGACCAGACCTTTCAGCAGCTTTCTGCTTTTCTTTACTGTATTACTTTGTGTCAGGAAAACTGGATTTTTGTGGAAATTTGCTCTGTGACAGCCCTGTTTTAAAATATTTAACCTTAGAACGCCTGCAGTCAAACATACTGAAATACAGTGGTAATTATTTTTCTTGTAGGAAACTGTGAATATGTACCCATTTCAGATGCACAGCATTGCACTGTCAACGTTTGCCTCATTAATTGGGCCATTTGGAGGATTCTTCGCCAGTGGATTTAAAAGAGCTTTCAAAATCAAGGTGTGCCATGACTCCCGTAATCCAATTTTGGTTTGGTTTTCTCTTTGAATTAGATAAATTGGTGGGTTGGGTTTGGGGTTTTTTTAAATTGCTCGTTGTAGTAGGTAGTGTTTCTATGAAGGTGTGATGGTGTTTGAGGTGGGGTTTTTTTTTAGCCTCAGCAGCATACTTGGTTTTATCAGATATATGTAGGTGCTATTCTTAAAACTTTGTGTAACCAACGTGTGACTGTAGTGTTGGAAATCTAAGGGTAATTTGATTCCGTATTTTGGTTGAGAATTACCTTCCCAAGTCCTGTTGTGGAAGTGTTTTAACCAGGCAATTGGGAGGTGACAGGCTTGGTGTGAAGGCAGCCTGCGGGTGCCGCCGGTGGCTTGCCTCTCAGATGGTGGCTGCTGTGTTTTACCGGGAGCGTTTGCCAGGGCAGGAGATGTCTGGCTGCCTGGGCCAGTGCAGACTGCTCTGTAACGAGAGCGTGTGTCCTTGGCGAGCCATGGGACGTGCCAACCTCTCTTTGTTGCAAGGTGTGTGCTGTCGCTTGGGCTGGTTGTCCCTGGCTGGGATTAAGTGACAGCAGGAGTGTGGGAAGAGGGCAAGCCCCAGATTTTCTCCCCACCTTCTTTATACCTTGGTAGGACTGCTGTAATTCTTACCCTGCTGCTTGTTCCTGTTCCCTATGTCCACCGTGCTTTGCACAGAAGGATGTAAACTTCTCTCTCTGTACTGAGCTCCCATGTGCTCACCCCCTTCCTCCTTCCCGAGCAGCTTGTCTGGCGCTTTGCTCATTACAGCCCCCCGCGCTGTTGTACCTCCACAGCCAGGTAGCAAAAGACTGTTTGTGTGAAGAAGGGCTTTTGGGAGGAAAAAAAAGCTCCTGGAAAGTAGAACATTAAAAAGTAGGTCTTTTTTTCTTTTTATTATTAGGCTGTTGGTAAGACAGGGATATTGTGGTGTTGAAGGCAGCGCGCAGGTAGGGTGGGACGCTCCGCGCCTGCCCAGCACTGGAGGGCAGCTGGAGTGGCACCACAACAGGACTGGTTTAACTTGCTAATTCCACGACTAAGGCCAGGGCTTTTACCCAGCGATTACACGGCTGAGAGTGGATGACAGAAAGGATAGATGAGGGCAGTTGGACTGATAAAGCTGTTCTGGGGAAGATGGGGTAACACAGAGGTAGTGTATCAAGCTTTGTTTGCATCAGGGATTTTTTAAGTGGTGATAATTTTTTTTTTTTTTTTTTTTTTTGTTGTTGTTGTTGATTCCGTTAAATATATTTATATTGTATGCAAACATGATGGTTTTTAACTATGGTTGCCAAGATCCCAGTAATAAAAATGTCAGGTGAACAGGCAGTGTTACTTGCAGAGCTGGTGTTAGTGGACAGAGTCCTCAGGTTGCTGCTTCCCTTGTAGCAAATACGTATTCCCTGGTAACAAGTGCTTCAGCAGCAGCTACCAGTAGAGGATAAAGCAATAAAAGAGGAGAATTAGATTCTACAGAGGCAAGAAACTACAGCCATTAGCTTAACAGCCTTGCTACAGTCAAGGACGTATAGGCACGCAAGTGTGCTCAGTACTGGCAAACCTGCACCTGACCTACTGCTGTCCTCTCTTGTGATACTGTGGACAAGTTGCTTCATCTCTTCTATTTCTTCTCACCCCTTGACTCACCTTTGCAGTTAAAAACTCCTTCAGCAAAGGAGGCTCTTGCTAACTTTGGGCTCAGTGCAATGAAACCGTAGCCTTAATGTGCTGCCGTCAAGCACATCGTGGTGTGTTTCACTGGAATCACCGACCATGATGATTTTTTTCTAATTTTTTTTTTTTTTCCCATCCTTCACACCCAAAAGGATTTCGCAGACACTATCCCTGGGCATGGTGGGATAATGGATCGCTTTGATTGTCAGTACCTGATGGCCACATTTGTTCATGTCTATATCACCAGTTTCATAAGGTATGGGCTTTTTACAATACTCACCTCTTAAGCTTGCCTAGGAGCTGTAACACAGTTACTTCATATGAACAGAGATTGCAGGTTTCTAACTGATAGAGTGATTTAAAATATTAAGAAAACATATGACACTGCCCAGGATTTGTGTCAGGTTCAAGCTATGTCTTAATGTTTCTGTGACTGCTGTTAAAGGTAACCTGCGTAGCCTAAATACCAGAATGTTTTGTGGAGCAGCCTCTTAGAAGTTTTACTAGAATTGCTGGCAGGTATGACGATGAGGTTTGGGGCAGTTGGGTTGATGCTACATCTTCTTTCCCCCTGTGGTTCCTGAAGAGCCTGTAGGTTGCACGACTGCGGTTCTTCCTGTAGGTCTCAGTATTTCTCAGTCGCTTGACTTGGGATTTTCTGTTTAAGATGAAAACACTGTGGTTAGAGAGAGGAGACAATGTCTTAAAAATACTGCTTGTCTTTCCTGAACCACACTGGCTTTCAGGAAGGAATCACAGGAATTACAATTCTCTTACAGTCAGTCATTTTAGGTCTGGGTGGGGGAATCAAGAGTCTGTAGGTGTACAAACTTATATGTGCCCATAGTTTTGTAAATGTGTATGGCTAAATAATTATTAGATACCTCATCAGCAACAGATTCTTTGCCTCGTATTCAGTCCATCTTAGAAGTAGACTGTAAATAAGTGACTGGCTAAAAATGAGGCTGTTATTTAGAAAAGCTTGGTTTAATTTGCCGTTTTTCTTTACTGACTTGGCCAACTTTACATTTAGTTCAGTAGTACACAGCTTACCTGACAACAGATGCTAAACTAAAAGGGATCTGTTGGTGACAAATACTGATTACAGCGATTAGGGATGCATCGGTGAATCGTCTTTGTCATAAGCCTTAGTATCCCCATTTGACAGCAAATCAAGAAAAGCATTTTAGTTTCTGTTCAGATCGAATTAAGGAATAGGCTTTGCTGGTAATGCTCGCCCATGCATCCTGAGGATGAAACCCATAACTCGGTGTCCCCAGAAAAGGGAAGGCTTTGTTTGTGCAGCAAGGGGAAAATGGAAAGCTGTTGAAAAGTTTCTTTACAGCCGCTTCTCTAAAAAAAAAAAATAATTTTTTTTTTCATTGACAGGGGTCCAAATCCCAGCAAGTTACTGAAGCAGCTGTTGATACTTCAGCCTGAGCAACAACTGAGCGTGTATAAAACCCTGAAATCTCACCTCGTCGAAAAAGGGATCCTGCAGCCATCTCTGAGAGGGTAGTTTGTCAAAACAGAGGGTTGGAAGAAACCTCCGTTTACAAGAAGCCTGTGGAAAAGCCTTGCAAATGTGCACATAGATAATAGCTAAAGGGAGAGGTGAATGTCTCCTGAAATAAATGTGAATTCTGTGACTTCCTATGAGGACACAGAAGAGCTCTTGTTCCTAAAACAATGAAAATGCTTACAAAGTGACAGTACACGTGCTGTATATTTTAATTCCTGAAGTGGATGGCAGCGGTCTTCCCTCAGCACCCAGCCTGACAGGCTTTGTATTTAAAAAAAAAAAAAAAAAATCACTGTTAGTTTTTAATGAGTTATTTAATATTGTATATCTTTGCAATACTTTTTTGGTCTCCAGTGGTTCCTGAAGCATAAACAGATGAGGCAGGCAGTCACTTTTATGTTGCTGAAATTACAGCTGGCCCGAAAATACTTGTTAGGCCACTCAGAGGTACTCACAGCCTGCTGTATCAGACTACCTGTATTTACTAACCCACTATGAAGTTTAAACTTGGCTCTATTTTTAATTAAACAGCTTTCTTATGAAACTCTTTCAGGCTTTCCAGAGAAAAGTACCTTTACTGAAATATAGCTGGGCTGTTTGGGCTGTGGAGCTGCTATTTTTTTGGTTAAGGTTACAGATTATAAACCAGCGTCTACATCCCGGAGTAGAGACTACATGAGAAAATGGGATTCTCCAACCCAGTGAACAGACTGAGGAGAAGATGGAGTTTAAGCTCTTGGTTTCCACAGCCTGGTCAGTGTCTCAAGACAGTAATTCAAGCCTTATTCCTTGTGCCTATTAATTACCACGTAGAATGGGGGTATTTCCTTCTTTTTAAAAGCACTTTGAGGTCCTGAGTAAAAAGTGCAGTTTCACTGTTGTTTTATTAATGTGTTACTCAGTGAAGGCAGAATCTTTCATCTCATGAGTGTGCAAGTGCAAGACAGGATACATGGTTCTTCTGCTGTGTGTGAGTATTTATTACGAAGATCCTCAAGCAAGCTTGGGTAACCACATAAGGTGTTTGAATGGAGAATTTTTCTAGAAAACAGCTATTCTGTAGACTTTTGGGGGCATAGGAGGGAAGCTGATGCTCTGTAATTCTTGATCCTAGCTGTTTTCTAACTTTTTTTCACCATGTGACCTGTCTTGACACCAAGAAAAATAATTTTTTTTTTAAATGACAAAAATTCCTCCTGTACAAACACAAAGCACAAATGCCAATTTTGTTTTGATATACTGTAACTTGATACAATTTAATTTTTCCAACAAATTGTAAATAAGTTTCTCCTGCGGTGAACATACCAATGCCACATCTGTGTGTGTATATATATAAAATAGTAAAAGGTGTATGTGTATATAAAAAGTGAATGTTTTAAATGGTTGGTGCTACTTGAGGATAAAACCATGGAGAAAATCACTAGGGTGGGTGATAAGCTGCATCTGTAAAGTTCAGACTGCTTTTTTGTTGCGTGCCGTGCAGCTGAGACTACCGTGCACTCTGTTTTGCACTTAGGCCAGGGTAGCCCGTGTCCTGCTTGCTCTACAGGACTAGGAAATTAATTCCAGGTCTAAAGTAATTCCTGTTGACGTTGGCTGTTTGACAGAATGAAATGATGGCTGACCTGGAGATTGCAGTACTGTATTGAAGGAACACTCCACCAGGTGAAAAACGTTGCCAGCTGCTTGCCCCTCAGTGCCCGTGCGACTGGGAGGGGACTGATTTTCAGCCCTTCCAGAAGCCTGATGTTAAAAGGTACCACAGCCACGCAGTGGGACACGTGGAAAGGTGCTTTAAAAAGAAGGGAAAGGAAAATGAGAGGGCGACCAAAGTAGCATACCTGGAAAACTAACTTTTAGATGAATGAGGCTTTGGTAGATGCTTATAAAAAAACACAGCCGTCCTGGAGCTGGTATATCTTTATCCTGGGTATTGGAAAAAAAAAAAACCAACCAAAAACCAAAAAACATAGAATATATATATATAAAAAGGTAATTGTTACTTCAGAAACTTGAACTTTTTAGTGTAATTTTATAGCATGTATAATAAGGAAGTTAAAATATATTTTAGCATTTAATACAACAGAGCATTTGAAATGAATTTGCACAATAGGAAGTTCAGCACTGCGATTCTGCTCTTCAATGTTAACATGAAGAAGGGGGATCACTTGTGAACTCATCAATTTTCTGGGTAGAGTAATAGCTTCCTGCTGGCTTAGGCTTGGTGTAAATAAAGCCTGGCAGGACCTGTCACTTCACAGTGACGACTGTGCTTGCTTACTGTGAAGTGTATTTACCCCTCTTGTTAGTTCCAAGCATTGCAACATGACCAACAGGAAAGTTTAACTTTTTACACCAGTGGTTCTTCTCACTTGCACTTTTGTTCCAAGTTGCTATAATTACCCGTTGAGCAAAAAAGAAATGTATATTATGTAAATATTGTAAATGGTATGAGCGTATGATGTCTGGTTTAGTTTGACTGTTTCAATCTTTCATTGAAAAATGGAAAATAAAACTGGGACAGAAATCCTCCTGTCTTGTGTTTCCTGTAGTATGTGCAGTGGGTGGATATTTCTCAACACGAGTTTATATTCCTAGGCCCTCCACCACCTGCAACCTCAGACAAATGCATCTTGTTTCTAAATTATGAAGACGACTGTAACATCCATTAAACACTCACACTCAGCAAACCGTGTCTGCACCGCACAACTCCTCGGGCTTTGGAAAACTATGGTAGAAGCACAGAGGGAGCTTTCATAGAATCATAGGGTGGTTTGGGTTGGAATTCAGGATTCCAGAAGCAGGTGGTAATGTCTCACCCGTAAACATAGAATCATTTAGGTTGGGAAAGACTCTTGGGGTTGATGATTGGACTGGATGATCTTTGAGGTCTTTTCCAACCTAGACAATTCCGTGAGTCCAACCATTACCCAAACACTGTCAGGCCCACTGTTACGGTGTCTGTGGCATTCAGTGGCACATTGATTTGTTCACTGCATAGATACAGCACCTGACTTCCCAGTACTGATGTTTGTTCTGCAAATTACAGGCACATGTTTTGATCTCTGAAGGAACAGGTGATAAAGACTGGTGTTATTGGGATTTGTTAGCGCAGATACATTCTTTGCAAGTGAGTGTGAGAAGGCAACATATTCTCATGGCGAAGTCAAGGTATTCAGCCCCATTTAATTGCCACCAGTTACACTTGCACTTACCCAAGTCGAGGCGGAAGAGCAGCAGTTTCCTTCCTCCTGCTCCCCGGGGAAAGGGACCAGGCCAGCTGCCCCCGGCTCCCCAGGGACGCCAGTTCTGAGCGAATCCCACATGCAGGTTCAGAGCAAGAGGAGAGGTTTCCTCTTCTGCTGTTAGGACCCTGCTCTTCGATCACAGGAGAATGAATACTTGTATTATCTGGCAGGAATTGTGCACACCTCTAAAGAAAACAGAGCAAGAGCTCTAATTGCCCAATAGTGGCTTATATTAACGACCTAACTAGGGCTGTTCGTTGGAGTTTGTATGTACTTGAAGGGCGTGTGTAGCTTTGTGTACTCTGACCTTGTTTCAAACTGTCATACCCGCCAAATGTAGGTTATCCCAAGACAGTGAGAAGCAAGCTTTGCCAGACTCCGGGTCCGTGCCATGTCCAGCTGCAGCGAAGCAAGTTTCTGACTTCAAAATCAGATGGAAGCTCTGTAAAACTAAAGGTCAGATCCTTTCTTCCTGCAGCAACTAAGATGCAGCCTCCAGACAGCTGACTTATATGTGTTTTGAAGAAGAAAATCCCTTTGAAAACCAACGTGTCTGCATTTAATCGAATTGTACCTATTTGTGCACAACTTTTTCTTCGCACAGTCTAACTTTCCAACTCGCAGTCGTGATGCTTTGAGGTATCACATCTACCACATTGAAACCCTCCTGAGCCCAGCAGACAGCATCCCACCTGCTGCCTGGTTCTGAGAAACCTGCCCCAGAATATTTAAGGCCTGATCCCTCTCAGTGCCTGTCTCGCAGAAGCCTTGTTTCAGCGTGGGTCTGGTCGTGAGCTGGCTGCCTGTGCTAGGTCACAGGAGAAATCAGGGTTTTCCTCGGTATGTGTCTTCCTAAGCCCCCACCTGGGTAAGTGACCAGGTTCTAAACCTGGCTGGACCTCAGGTTTCTAGTCAAGGTGCATAAACAACTTTTTTTTCTTTTTCAGGAACCGTTGCATCCAGGTTGCTTGTAGGCCAATTAACTCAGTTTTCACATACTGGAGGAGAAAAACATGTTTATTTTAAACATAGCCAGGGAGACCCACTCTAAGAGACACATAAGCAGAAGATGGAGGGAGAAGATGCCATTCCAGAGCAAGTCCTTGCCAGGACTGGGGTGAAACCCTGAACATCGAGTTCCCTCGGTGCATGGGTGGCAACACAAGGTACATGACTAAACCATGTCCCTAAGTGCTGCATCTACATGTCTACCTCCTGGGATGGTGACTCAGGCACTCCCCTGGGCAGCCTGTGCCAATGCTTGACAACGCTTTCCGCAAAGGAATTTTTCCTAATATCCAATCTAAACCTCCCCTGGTGCAGCTTGAGGCCATTTCCTCGGGGCCTGGCACTGGCTCCTTGGCTCCAGAGACTCATCCCCCCTCTCTGTACCCTCCTGTCAGGGAGTTGCAGAGGGCCAGGAGGTCTCCCCTCAGCCTCCTCTTCTCCAGACTGAACCCCCCCAGTTCCCTCAGCCGCTCCCCAGCAGACCTGTGCTCCAGACCCTGCCTCAGCTCCGTTGCCCTTCTCTGGCCACACTCGAGTCACTCAATGGCCCTTTTGGGGTGAGGGGCCCAAAACTGAAGCCCCTCACTGAGGGGCGGCCTCACCAGTGCCGAGCACAGGGCTCAGATCCCTTCCCTTGCTGTCTCACTCCTTGCTGTCTTTGAGAGCACCGCTGTGCCATGTCAGGAAAGAGACCCTCCTTACCTCCCATGGTGGCAGAAATCTTTGATGCGGAGTTTGTCTGAGAAGCAAAACGCATGTTTCATTATCCTGAACAGCAAGGCATTCACGTCCAAAGCTGCAGGTCTCAGTCCCAGCTCCCAGTGCCATTTCCGTGCTGGGAAGAAAACATTCTGGAAAAAGTTGGCATTGGCAGATACTGCATGTCAAACACCTCCAGAGCAGAGGCCATGGAAGGCTGTGTCTGCAGCCTTAGTACGTTCAGGATAAGCATGGATCTGCAGGAGGACACCCACGCTTTGAGTAGTCCCAGAAGCAGAAGTTGGTGAACGTGGGAAACTTTAATTTGAAAGTGTGTAGGCATTAACGTTTTCAAAAACCGCCAGGTTGGTTAGCAGCTGAGCAGGAATCCTGCAGAACACAAATCTGGATTTGAGTATTTAAATCCCCCATAACCTTTCTGTTTGCCTGAGCAAAAGTAACTTCCAATGTATTTTGAAGAATATGGCTTCCCAAACTTGCAGCAAAGGCTGCTAACTCTAGCTTTCACATTAACTGGAATAGGCTTCATCAAAACACATCATGTTGATGTGAAAGCCTTCAGTTTACCTTGATGGATTTTCTCTTCAGGGCTTTTATATCCTTGATCAAAGTGACCAAATACGCCCCCATGCAATAAGTAGTACTTCAAGGCTAAAGACACTTAGTAAATAGAAAGGAAAAATTTAGGTTTTCAACTTGGGCTCAAAGCGATCGGATGCCTTGTTATCCAGCAGCTTTTCCCACGCTTGAATGACCTTCCTCTCTCCAGCAAACACACATTTCCAAACCAGTCCCAAGCCAGGTAATTTCAACCTCAGACAAAAACTCGGGAGGCCACTTAGCAAAATGAATGGAGGTAAGGGGAAGCTTTTCCTTCAGCTTGCAGCATCCTTGCCTCTTCCAATGCCAGACGTACTTTGCAAAGCAGAATGTAAATTTGACCTTAGCCTGCTCTGTAGTAAACTGACATTTTTTCAGCCATTATGCAACCACATTGCACATTGCAGAAATTCATGTTTGCGAACATTTCTTACCCAAAGAGAGACAGAAGGCATAGCTATAAAAGAAGCCCAGAGACAGACATTCATAGCAGCTCCTAGGGCCAAGAATGTCACTGAGTTGGGGACACAAGCCTTCACTGCACAAACCATTAAACCAAAAGATCTTTGCTAATCTAATAAATCACCGTCAGACTCAGTAGATAACCCTGGTTCTGCTAGGGTGGCATCAACAGGAGTGCTACTCCATAGGCATTGGCCTGACTTCAACCTGAGGATGATGTCCTCCGAAACTCTGGCTAGAAAACAACAAGGTATTTGTCTTCCACTTTCTTATCAATAATTTGTCAGCACTGAGGTTGTTCTGTTTCCCTCATGTGCTACACAGCAAACGTACTACCACTGCTTTTGAACAGAGGCTGTAAGACAGAAAGAAGTAGCTTGTAGACTTCTGCTGCTTATGAGCTTTTGCCCCAGAAGACCTGGGTACAGTAGGACAACCGAACAGCCTGTCTACCGCAGGTGGCATCATTTCTAGCCAACAGATCACCAACCTCTAGGACAAAGCTTTAAATGTGTTTTGTTTGGTTTGTTTTATTTTTAATTTATTTATAGTCTGTAGAAACTCACCTACTGCAGAACTTCAGAAGAGCGTATTTGTTCTAGAATCAGACAAGGTCCCTTTGTGTACGTCATGGCTGCTTTCTAATTTGTATGGAGATTTGGCATGTGATTTATCCACAGTGGCTCGATAACGCTAACTTCAGGCAAGTTCTCCTGGTTCATGGTGGTTTGTTCGATTTTGTGGCTGGAGCATCTGTATAATCCCAGTATGTGGAAAAGGTCACTATTGCCTGATAATTTGAATGCTCCTAGGCTAAAAGCTTTGAAAACTTCCTTGTAAGACAGCTTTAACTGAGAGCAATTTTGTCCAGTCTCTTCCACTCCTCCCCCTTCTCTTTTTGAAGGGGTCATTTAAAAACAAACAAACAAACAGGAATGCTGCCCAAGAAATGCAGGTGTTTTCTTAATTGCTTCACTTGGAAGCTATACATCTTTAACTGTGCTGTAGCCAGAAATCACAGAATCACAGAACCCCAGAACCATCTGGGTTGGGAAAGCCCTTTCAGCTCCTCCAGCCCAACCATGAACCTCACTCTGACCTTTCCCAACTCCCCCAGATCCCTCAGCGCTGGGTCAGCCGATTCTTCAACCCCTCCAGGGATCCCGGGGACTCCCCCCCTGCCCTGGGCAGCCCATTCCAACACCCAACAGCCCCTTCTGCACAGAAATCCTTCCTCAGAGCCAGCCTGACCCTGCCCTGGGCAGCTTGAGGCCATTCCCTCTGGGCCTGGTGCTGGCTCCTTGGCTCCAGAGACTCATCCCCCCTCTCTGCCCCCTCCTGGCAGGGAGTTGCAGAGGGCCAGGAGGTCTCCCCTCAGCCTCCTCTTCTCCAGACTGAAGCCCCCCAGTTCCCCCAGCCGCTCCCCAGCAGACCTGTGCTCCAGACCCTGCCTTAGCTCTGTTGC